TCTAGAGCACTTACTCAAGTCAGTTTTGCTCTACTCCTTTGACAGATCGGTTTCCTCCTCTTCTCCAATTACATGCATGTGCCACCTGGTTGTTAAGGAGAATGATCCTTCTAGCCAAGTGTGTCCCAGTGTTCCACAGTCGATAACTTTTAATCTGCGATTTGAACTTAGAAGGCGCAAGTGGGTTGAAATTGATGTGACCTCCTTTCTTCAGCCACTGATTACCACTAACAAAAGAAATGTTCATATGGCTGTGAATTTCACTTGTCTGAAAGATGATCAACACCAGAAGGTTAAACAGGAAGGTTCCTTTAATACAGCTTTGGTTCTCCCTTCTCTTATTTTATATCTAAATGATACCAGCAAACAAGCTTATCATCGGTGGAATGTGCTTAGATTTCAGAAGAGAAACCCAGTGTGGTCCAGACAGAGAAACAATCCACTAGCTGATCCTGCAGAAGATGCAGGAAGAGACAATATAGAGAGTAAAAGAGCATCCCGCCACCGAAGAGGTGATGTAAAAGAAAGCCTGGCATCTTCAGCCTATAATATGAGTGAATACTTCAAACAATTCCTTTTCCCTCAAAATGAATGTGAGCTTCACAACTTCCGTCTAAGCTTTAGCCAACTAAAGTGGGACAAATGGATAATAGCACCACATCGATACAGCCCTCAGTACTGCAAAGGTGACTGTCCAAGGGTGGTTGGACATCGTTATGGATCTCCAGTCCATACAATGGTACAGAACATCATATATGAGAAACTGGACTCATCTGTTCCAAGACCCTCTTGCATCCCTGCAGAATATAGCCCACTAAGTGTTTTGACAATAGAGCCTGATGGTTCTATAGCCTACAAAGAATATGAAGACATGATAGCTACTAAATGTACTTGCCGGTAATGGGTAAATCCCACACTACTGTTGCACATTTTCAGGATATTTTTGTAGTACTAAAAGCAATTTATAGACCTGACCAACTAAACATCAAAAATGTAGTTAAAATATCCTTTTTTTTTTTTTAAAGTAATAGGTTACAACTTACCTTGCAGTTAGTGGCAGGTATTTGCATAATGGCATTTATTTTATAGCCCCTTCTAATTTATTGAAAATGAGGAACTCCACTTAAGAAAAGTAAAACTCTATTTTAACTGGGAAAAGTATTGCATTTAAAAAGTGGAAGCAACTTCAATAACTAAAGAAATCTACTGTAAGCTGTACATTATGGGGAAATAAATATCTGTGACTTCATGCCATTTCTGTGTAAAGCCTCTCTCTCTCTCTCTCTCTCTCTCTCTCTCTCTTTTTTTAAGACTCCTGATTAATACCTTGTACACTAAGACTTCTAGTGTTTGGACTTCTAGACACTCATTTTCAAGTGTGCTTTTAGTGACTTTTTTTTTTAACCACTCTTCCTTACCATACTGACTAGATGTAAGGTTATCAAAAGCAGTAGACAACCTGTTTTGTCAAGCTGTTGGGTCTTTCATACAGAGTGGTGATAAGTGAACATGCTATCTGAAGAATGTTCTGATTTTTGTTTTTTAAAAAAACCTGCTGGGGGTAACTTGTTATCCCATTCCAACTGTTCAGTGAATTGTTATTCGACCACTTACGGGGAAAAATGCCACCCTTTGGAAGTACTTGCATCAGATGTATTAATGGGTTCTATTTTAAAAATAGCATTCAGTAAACTTTTGTGGATGCTTGCTGTGTTTACTGCTGTCTGGCTATGAACAAGAAATAACTGTTAATTTTAACAGTGAGCTAAATTTGAAATGTGCAACTAATATTTTCGGAATAACACATTGAGTAACTGAAATTTATAAAGGTATGTCTTACACTATCCTCCCTGAAAATTTTTTTTTTTTTTTTTTTTTTTTAAATCCCACTTTCCACTGACTTTAAATACTACTTTAATCTGTCATTGGTATTATTCTGAAACCCGAATGTGCTCTAAGAAATGTAAAATGGGTCAAGCTTAACTTTTTTTTAAATCCTGCACTGCTTCCCTAATTCTATTCATCTTCAGCATGAAGACTCTCCTAGAGTTGGCATTCTAAAAACCAAATTCATTGAACTTTTGTAAACATCCCAAAACCTACCTAACCCCAAAAAAACCTTCAGAGAGGGTGGTGTTTTTTATTTAATTAAGTATTCTTGCAAGATTTCTTTTTAGATATTATGGCTGCATATTACCCTGCACTCCCATTTTCTGATTCATAGCCTTCTATTTTAAACTTACTGAGCAGTCTATAAATGTCTGAATACACACCGGAACCCTCCTTCTACAACAATGCATTTAAATCACCTAACCAGCATGCTAACAATCAGTTCCTGCTTCTGCATAACTCCAAGGGGAGTGACCAGACTAGTAAGAACAGGATTAAGCTGGGAAGTCATGAGTCTAAATTCTCCCTCTACTAATAGTAGTCTGTGTGATGACTTTGAGCCTCCATATTGCCATCTCTTCAACACAGCTAATACCTAGCTACCTAGTACAGCTATTGCAGTGAATTATTTAATGGCTATACAGCTCTTTAGAAGTAAAAGTATATTGGGGCTGAGTATTATCCAGCTGTTTCCAATATTCCTACAGCTTCAACTTTAAACCAGACGTTTCACTCAAATAGCTAAAACAACTGTTCACTACCTATTATACCTAAAATCATTTTGTTGTTGTTTGTTTGCCTGTTTTTGTTTTTTAGGGGTAGGGGAGTAGATGGAAGGGACAAAGCTGTTTTAAACTCAGTATAACCAATATCTGACCTTGATAGTATAAACTGGAGAGTGGCTTTATCATAAGTTTACTGCTGTTAAGAGCTATATCAGTATAACATAGGTTTGGTTTTTTGTGTGTTGGGTTGGTGGTGGTTGTTGTTGTTTGTTTGGTTTTTTTTTTTTCCCTCTTCCAACCAGCCTGTGCCTTGAGATCCTTTAAGGATGCTGTGGAATATCACAGCTAACACTGTTAGGTTTATAAAAATCATTTGCAAGATAAACCCAGAGATTTCGAAGAAATCCACAGCTGTGGTCTTTGAGCAATTTGCAACAGCGAAACTGTTCTGTGGGTTTGTTTGGGGTTTTTTTCTTTTTTCCTGCACTCAAAAATGAAAACTAAGAGCTGGCACTTTCTGAGGGGTGCCTTAAGTCTTAAACCATTGAGACCTATTGCTTTAGCAAAACATCATTCTCGTGTATCCCAATTTTTGTTAGCCTTATTCAAATAGACTAGAAATGCTCATTGGCTAAGCGCTCCAAGGAGTAAAACACAGAAGCACAAGGACAAAAAAAAACCTCATTTGCCTTAAGTCAAGCACTTCAGCATAGGAAACTGCATTTGGGACACCTGCGGTCTAAGCAGGCAACGGAAAACTTCATGAAAGGTTTATACCACATTCGCCTGAGTTGTCAGATATAAATATATATAGCCTGCAAAAATAATACAGCACTAACACTATGCATCTTGCCTTATGGACGTGTGGAAAAGGCAATGGCAGTTTCCCTGAGACGTTGCAGTGTGGGTGTACACGGTGAGACTACCTACCATAAATGGGGCTTCCATTCAGAAGTGAGGTCCCTGGGAGCCCCTGAAATATAAATAAACATAAGCTGTTTTCAACACAAACAAGTGCCATGCTTCAGTGCAAAAGCCTGATTTAGACCGCCTGCCTTGAGCAAACACCCCGTGCTTTCACCTGCCAGTACAATAAATACTTTGCGCATTTCCCAAGACGCTGGTGCCACCCAACTGTGCCACACCGACGTTAGATTAAGTGGTGGCCCAAGCTGTTTTCAGTGCATGTAATGCTTCAGGGAAGGGTTTAAAAAAACAAGCCTATGCCAGGATGCTGCAGGTCTGCAATGTAACTAGGGGTGGGTGGGAGGGCAGCGGATTTCGGGCACAATCCGGGGCAGGCCGAGCACGCGGCGGCCGA